CGGTAAGAAATATTTGATTAGCGAAAAGTCTGGAAAGATGCTTAAATTTATATCTTAGAAGAATTTTACAAATTAATGGTATTCGTAAGAATTTTCCCGTGACAACCACAAATACTTATATTATAATCACGTGTATGTTTACACCACGTGTAATCGAATCAAATGTTTGATACGTGTTTTGTGCGAAAACTCGTTGAGTATATTTGTGCAGAATGCAACAAAACCACCCAAATCTGATCATTTGTTCTAATAATGATAGTCAACTATATTAATAAATACATTTTTGTCGAACTATCGTATCTAGCAACGACTTATTAATGCTTATATGCAGTAAGTAAAACTGTATTGCTACCCGTCATTGTTAGTACATCTACGTAGTACTATATATAGTATATGACAAATAAACCAACTCAGGCTGTTTGCACCGTTTGACACAGTTCTAACATTCTAACGAATGAAGCAACTGATTATATGAACATTGATTCAGAAGTATGATTACATAAAATAATGAAACACTACAGTTTATATAGCTCTGAATTTGTTATACGTGAAATTATCTTGTAGCTCCATAATCTTAATTTTTCGAATGTTTGTTTATAAGGTGACATCATATTACATTGTGAACTTTTAGCTGAAGTACTAGTAGTTAATTTAAAATGCAGTAAACTATGAACCCAAGAAGCCCCGGGTGTCGTATGGACGAGGAAACTGATATGAGAAGAAAACTGTTATGAGGAAGACGAGGATGAAGCGTAAACATTACTACATCAGTGTTGATCACAGAGTTGTACAATGATGACACATTTTTCTTGTGAATATTTTTTTACATGTTATATATTGTATTCGTGTAATATATATATTGTTGTAATTGCAATATTGAGACTTTGTTTTTTTATTTCATGTATATATTATACATTCATAAATAATACTTTTAGTCGAGATGGAGTCGGATTTTTTCATATTTAAATATTCTACATGTTTAAACATCCGAGGTCGAGGCTGTGATGACGTGTTGCAAGTCTTTTATGTGTATCGCAGTTAAGCGTCCAACATGCCCCGATACCTTTATCCAATGTGATCGCAGGGTTCAAGAAAATGGCGGAATTCTGAATGAACGAGAAAGAAGACAGACTTCTCGAAATATTTGTAATCAATCTTTGTTTATAGGATTGTAACGAAGACGTAAGGCTCGAACAGATACTAGCACCTCTTTGCATTTTTGTTAAATTTACCCTCACCTACCACCATCCAACTCAGTCTTATCCCGTACTGCAATTGTCTTTTCTGAGTCTATGATTTAAACAATAGCGGACGAGCCGCCAATCCATAATGGGCGAAAGCAAACTTTGTGCGACATATATGTGCGAGGCATCAGCCTCGGAAAGTATAAAACACAAAGTCTATTATATATCGGCTGGGAGTTCATTATTGCTTTTCGTTTGTAGCGTTGTCAACACCAGGAATTTGCTGCCTTCATAAAGAAGACAGTTTTGAGTGAAAGTGCATAGTAAATAAAATAGTTATGTATTGGTTATCTATCACATCTGCATGTAGAATGGCCAAATGTAGACGAAGATGCGAAACAGTTTTAGTAAACTTTCCATACACCTGAACTGTCTCAATATCCTCTATAAACTATTTTTATTACGACTCCGAGTGTGAATTTGGATACTGATCATGTTTGGTGTTACTGCACTACTATGACCCATGCATTATGCAATCAGAACTTTCATTGCAAAACATTGTATAACTTATATACTCACAGGGGATATTGTGGTTGATTCCTTTACCTACTAACAAGATTTGAAAAAAAGTTGAGAAGAAATGTTTTGATTTTTAAATAAAATACGTCCCAATTCTGGAAAAAAAATTGACAACACATGCTTCATTCATATTTTTAAGTTCGTACTTCTAAATCTAGGACCTTCATAAAAACGTTGGATTTGCATAACAATGAGATTTCATACTGTATGTATTTATAGAATCTACTAAACCTGGAGACAATTGCCACTATATGAACATGAATAATAACAACCGCATATGTAATGTACTACATGATTTATTTATACATTATTTATTTAAATAAATTGTGTCGGTACAATAAACAATTTTTTTTTTACAATTTTCAATTTTAAACATTTTATCTACGTGTATACAATTAAAATACAGCATGATGTAGACTCGGTTTCGTTCTGTTCCCGCTGACGGAGCTGACTCTGCCTGAGAACCCGGTCACGTGAACAACATCTTTCATCAATACAACTATTTGGTTCATTCGATTATTGAAAAAAACTCTCTACTTGAGAAGCACATATCGATTGTTTGACAAAAGATAATTAAAACTACCATGTTTATCACTGATGAACAATTCCGTTAATTACCAGATCTGGGCCGGAATATGGTCTGGCACAACCTACCGCTGCCAAGTTTCTTTACTCCGTGTTCCTGTGTATAATCGCAAATGCCGTAAAGGGCAATATAACACATAGAGCCGGGACAAGAGACT